ATATCTAGCTAATTATTTACTTAAATACTACTAATAGTATTTTCTTTTTATAATTTTTATAAAAATAGTAGCTTATAGAACTAGTTTCTAAGTTTTTAATTTCTGAATATTATAAGATATAAAAACATGCAGTATAATAAATATAAGAAATTTTATTAGAAAATAATATATTTTTCTAAAAACTATTTTATATTATTAATATCTTTTTTTAATTAAAGTAAAATAGCGGTTTTTAAGCTTGTATATAGATTTTAAAAAAGATTATCTTCTACTATTAATTCTAAAAAATAGAAAGTTTTTTTTTATAAGTTAAATATAAAATAATCTTCTGATTCTTCGCGACGCGCGTAATCTAGAGATTTAAAAAAAAAAATCTGGCTTAAAAAGCTTATTTCAGTTAAAATATTATTATAATTTATAAAAATCTAAGAAACAGAAGAAGAGAATTTAATAATATTCTTTAAAAATAAACTAGATAACTATAATTAATTTATAATTTTAAGATTACTTTACAAATAATAAATATAAAAAGATAAAAATAAAAAATTTTATAAAAATAGTTTATTTTATTTTAAAATATATTTTTATATAAATATAATTTATTATATTTTAAACACAGCTAAAGCGTCTGCTGTATTTTATTTATTTTAAAAAATCTAGTAAGCAGAGAATTATATTTTAAATCTAGAATTATAAAAATTAGATTAATTAAGTTAGTCAGATTATATTTATATTAATAAAAAAAACCTAAAAAAGACTTTTACAGAACTTTTTAAAAAATATAATATCTAATATTTAATTAGATAATTATTAGAAAGTACAGTTGCCGAAAAAGATTATATAAATAATATTATATAAATATTATAATATAGTCTTAATTCTTTCGACTTATCTACTTAATTTATTTAATCTGTTTAATCTGTTTAATCTATTTAATTTATTTAATTTATTCGATTTATTTAACTTGCTTGATCTGTTTAATCTATTTAATCTATTTAATCTATTTAAT